AAAAAAAAAAAAAAAAAAAAAAAAAAGCCATAGCCAAACTCATTTGTTTACTTTTGCACTAGAATGGCAATGAGTAGTTGTAACAGAGACCCTATGGTTTGTGAAGACTAAAATGTTTACTATATGGGCCTTGTAAAAAAGTTTGCTGAGTCTTGCTCTACGATAACAAGCAGAAAATCAAGATTCATCAGTGGTTTGCACTTATATACTAAGCCAAAGCTTTGAAGGGTTTGCAAGATCAACATAAGAGCTAAATCTATTGATTGTCTATTATATGTCAAATTCTCTTTATATAGTATCTAAGTTAGTCCTCACTGATCCTGGAAAGAGAGCTATTTACCTTACTTCACTCAGGAGGAAAGTGAAGTCCCCAAGAGTTCACTAGGTGGCCTACAGTCATGTGGCAAATAACTACTGAGTATGGAATATGAAGCTAGGCTTTCTTCGCTCCAGGGAAATCTTGCTGGTTCCGGAATAGCAAAGTGCACCGCCAGCCCTCATAACCCTGACTCTCAGCAGAAGCTCTGAAATTAGAAACACATTTTTAGGGAGCACAGTTTTTTGCTGCCCAAGGACCTAACAGCAACAGATAGTTGAAGCTTTCTGCTGCTGATTACAGGGAGTAGGTCTCATCCCCCACAGTACAAAGGTCAGAAGCAAGAAACCAGCTTTGGGGTATAAACATTACAGTTCAGTGCTCTCCTCCTCCACCTCTGAGGGGCAAAAATAAATTTGAGAGTGATGGAAAATCTATTTCATGGACAGAGTAATCATTTCTTTACAGGAGAATCTCAAGATTGGCTCTACCACCGGATGCGTAACTGGGTAGTCCTGGTTCCTCAGGGCCTCTGGGGTCTTTTATAGACTTATAAAATGGATAGATTTTAAAAGCCAGTAGGTTTTAAAAGTAGTAGGTGGAACAATTCTTTTTTGTTTGTTTGCTTTTTGAGACAGAATCTTGCATTGTCACCCGGGCTGGAGTGTAGTCGCACAATCTCGGCTCATTGCAACCTCTGCCTCCTGGGTTCAAGCGATTCACCTGCCTCAACCTCCCAGGTAGGTTGGGATTACAGGCAAGCGCCACCATGCCCAGCTAATTTTTTGTATTTTTAGTAGAGACGGGGTTTCACCATTTTGACCAGGATGGTCTCGATCTCTTGACCTCGTGATCCACCCGCCTCGGCCTCCAAAAGTGCTGGGATTACAGGCGTGAGCCACCGCGCCCGGCCCTTTTTTCTTTTTTTCTTTGAGCCGGAGTCTGGCTCTGTCACCAGGCTGGAGTGCAGTGGCACAACCTCGGCTTACTGCGACCTCCGCCTCCCGGGTTCAAGTGATTCACCTGCCTCAGCCTCCTGAGTAGCTGGGATTACAGGTGCATGCCACCACGTCCAGCTAATTTTTGTATTTTTAGTAGAGACGGGCTTTCACCACGTTGGTCTGGCTGGTCTCAAACTCCTGACCTCATGATCCTTCTGCCTTGGCCTCCCAAGGAACATTTCTTTAATAGAATCTCAGAACTGGGAGGGTGGGGAGGAGGGGGTCATTTTGTCCAGACTGTCTCCCCCAGAAGAGAAATTCTTTTTCAAATATTCAGGACATTCAGTCCTTGAACACTCTACTGCTTACTAATACTAGTATGTGAACGTCTACTGTGTGTCAGGCATTGTTCTAAACACTCTACATGCATTATCTTAATTGTCACAACAATCCCATGAGGTAGGTACTAGTATTATCCTTTCTTGACAGATGAGAAAACAGGTTAAGGAGTCAGTTCACCATTTGCAGTGATTCAGCTAGTGAGTAGGGACTGAATTGGACGTAGTCAGTCTCTAAAACCTCAATGCTTAACCAGTGAGATCTTGTTAAAATGGGATTGAACACTGCCTGCCTATAGTTCTTTATTTCTTTGAGACAGGGTTTCTCTTTCACTTTGTCACCCAGGCTGGAATACAGTGGCATGATGCTGGCTCACTGCAGTCTCGACCTCCCCAGCTCCAGCAATCCTCCCACCTTAGCCTGCCAAGTAGCTGTGACTATAGGGATGGGCCACCACATCCAGGTCATTTTTTGTATTTTTTGTAGAGACAGGGTTTCGTCATGTTGCCAAAGTTGGTTTCAAACTCCTGCATTAAAGCGATCTGCCCACCTGAGCCTTCCAAAGTGCTGGGATTACAGGCATGAGCCACCGTGCCCGGCCTTATCTGCCTATAGCTCTAGCCTACTTGTCCTACATCTACACAGGAGCTACCGTTTCTTGGGGATTAGGTATGTCAGTGGCTGGGTGACATGTTTTACTGGCATTTTTCCAATTAATACTAACAACAGTCCTGTGAACTCAAAGTTTTTGTCCCTATCTTACAGATGAGAAAATCAAGGCAGTGAGGTAAAGCAACTTGCCTGAGGTCACCCAGTTGGCAAGCTGGGGCACAGGTTTTCAGAGGTTTCTGGGATTCCAAACCCTGTGGCCTCAGGCATTTGAGAAAACTCTCAGGTAACAAACTCTTCCCTTTCCAATTATATATACATACACACACACACACATATATACACACACATATGTATACATATATATACACACACACATATATACATACACATACACACATATATACACACACATATATATATATACACATACATATATACACATACACACATATATATATATATATTTTCTTCCCTTTCCAGTTTTGAGGCAGTCCCTTGACTAACACCCTCCTTCCTTCAGTTGTTCATCTTGTGCTACATGGTGCCAAGTGCCCTCCTCATTCCCATCATCCGCTCCAGAGGGTCTTTGTCAAAATCCCCAGAAAAAGACACAGAATACAGTGATCATCAAACTGGCTTTTTTCTCATTGCCCCCCAGAAAAAAAACCTGGGGGTCTCACTCTCCCAGCCCCAGGGCAATTAATACTGTCTTCTACCATTGCCTCAGGCCGACTTGCTCAACTGGTAGGGCTGATTCTACCAGATTTCTTGTCCATTCTTTGTTGTTGGGGGATTTGTCTCAAAGGCTCAAGGGAAATGACACCTGAGATGTTTGTGGCTCTGCCCAGGGGACCTCAGACTCACCTGCCAGCTCCCAAAAGACAAGCTGCTAAGACACACGGCATCTGTGGGATACTTCTGGGTATCCACCTGACCCAGAGCCATGAGTTAGGCACCCTGAAGAAAATGCAAACCACCACATGACCCTAACCAAGATGCAACTGAGATCAGAGCTTCTTCCCAAGCCGGTGTGGCTGCTTTTGCTAGGCACTTCCCATGTGACCAGGATGGAGAGATGGGAAGCCTAAGGATAAGTCGGCTCTGCCAACTTCACCACCTGGAATAAGTTACTGGGCTTTTTATATTTTTGTCTGCCAAAGGCCTCAATTCTTTTTATAAAAAAATGAGGCCATGAGCAGCAAGGTATATGTGATAAGACTGAGTGATCTGCAAAGGCAGGCTAAGACTGACTTCCCAGACTCTGCCACTGAGCAACTGGTGACTTGGCGGGGGGTTCCCGAACTTCTTTGGGGCTTATGGGTTCAGGCTGAGAAAGTGTCTCCATTCAGTGTCCCCCAGAGCTGACCTGAAAAGTAGGCCAGTGTGGGCAGGAAAATGAAGAAAAGCATGAACCTCTGAAAAGCTGCCAGGTCCGTGAAGCAATAACCGAGTCCACCCCTTGCCCAGAGCCTCCCCACCGCCCTCCTTCAGGCCAGCTCCGCGGGTAGGGCAGCCAGTAGGAAGGCTCAGGGACTAGGCGTCTCAGTTCCTGCCGGCCAGCAACCTCCCGCCTCCTGCTGAGCGACTCCCTGCCCCCGCTCCCGGTCTGTTTCTCCGTGTACGCAGGGAAAGCGTGGGCTTGTCGCCCCTGGAGGGCTTCTAGCTCCGACGTTTTGAAGCCTGGCTCCTAGATTAAACTCCCTTCGGATCCCATTTTCTGGAGGGTCGCAAAAGCTGGGGGCTGGGTGGGGTAAGCAGGGGGACAATAGCAGCTCCGGTCGCGGCCTGAGCCCTTCAAGAGCAGCATCCGGTCAAACGGCTGTGCAGCCGAGGATCAAGCAGGGGACTGCAAGTCTGCGCGGCGGGGACGGCGCAGCCACTCACCGGCATGACCGAGGCGGCGGCGGTGCGGCGGCGGTGAGGCGGCAGTGGCAGTAGCGCCTCTCTGGGCTCGGAGGGCGGGTTCCGCCGCGCTTCCGAGAGTGCGCGTTGGAAGCCCCGTCCCGCAGGCCCCGCCCCCTCCGGGCTGGATCGCAGCCAGGCGCACCGCCTCTTTCCCATTGCCCGGGCCCTTGGTCACCCTGCCTGGACGGAAAGAGGAGGTAAGAGTGGGCGCTGCGCTGGCCTCCATCGACGGTCGGCCTTTTTCAAAACGTCTACTTCGGATCAAGCTTGTGTTAGGGAATACCACAGAAGGTCCCCGCCTTGACCAGGACAGATCCATCCATCCCGAAAAGGGCAGTGTCTCTCATTTATTCACCCAGTCAGTATTTATTGAGCGCCAGCCATCTAGTGGAAATGACTTAGCAGGAGGCCGCGAAGGATGCACGCGGTGATAGTGCAGGGTTAGAGGAACTGTCGTGGCAGCGGAGGAAGGGCCCTGACTGGAGTGGGGTGGGGGCGGTTGTGGAAGAGAGGCGGCTTGGGGAGGAGGCAATAATCTGGACCTCAGTTAGCCTTTATCGCCTTCTTACAGGCTCTCTGTCTAAATGCAGTCGCACTGGGGGTTAGGATATCAACATAGGAATTTTAGGGGACACAATTCATGACCATGGCAGAGTACAGTCCATAGCAGAGCCATACTGACTAGAGTTTTAATCTCAGCCCTATCACTTACCAGCTGTGTGACCTTGGGCAGATGAATTTACCTCTCTAAGCCTCAATATCCTCACATATAAAATGGGGACAGTTAAGGTGACTATACAATTTTTTATCTAAACCTTTTGCTGGAGAAAGGAGATGCTATTAATAATTTTACTAGGACAATAGGTAAACACCATGACTGTTCCAGGCAAACAAGGACACATGGTTCCCTCTAAGAAACCTACTTTGCAGTATTGTTGGAATAAATGTAATGTATGCAAACTGCTTAGCACATTGCTTGGCACATGGTAGGCACCAAACATATATAAGTATTCTTTAATTGCTAGGCCCTCTGTTGGCCTCCCTGGCACTGAGTCTTCCCTTGCTCACAAAATACTCACCCCTTAACCCTTCATCCCCTACCCAACCTGCCCCAGGAATTCCCTAATGATGGAAGGGAGGGTGGCGGGGAGCAGAGGGAAAGAGGGTGCGGCCACATTAGGTCCTGTACAGGCAAAGCTTAGCATCTTGCTAGTCCTGGGTGCAACTGTGCACTGGGGCTAGGGATGGCCAGATTGCCATGAGGGAGGGTGGAGAGTGGACAGGAGGGAAGGATATCCTTCCCAAAGGCAACAGTGCACAGGGCAAGCCACCCACAGCAGAAGAGTGAATGTTTTAGAGAATTAGGGGTAGGGATTGAGGGGATGGTTAAGCACAGAGAGCAATTTAAACAGACGACAGCTTTATAAAGATCTCTTAATGATTACAAATAAAGACCAGAGGGAAATATGCCAGATTGCAGTTCCTACATAAATATATACATACATTCCATGTATTTACATAAAAATAAGCCTGAAATGAACCACAGCTAATGTTATTAGAAGTTATTTTGGATAAATGTAGGATTTGCAGGTGGAATCCCAATTTGCCTACTGTTTAATTTTCAAATAGTGAAAAGTAGGTCTCCCTCCTACCCTGACCTCTCCTTCTTAAACAAAAGGCATACTATATACAGTTTTGTACCCTGCTTTTCTCACTTTAGAAAATATCTTAGAGATTATTCCTGGACCAAGTATAGTGGCTCATGCCTGTAATCCCCTTGCTTTGAGAGGCCCAGTTGGGAGGACCACTTGAGCCCAGGAGTTTGAGACCAGACTGAGTAACATGGTGAAACCCCAGCTCTAGAAAAAATACAAAAATTAGCTGGGTGTGGTCACATATGCCTATGGTCCCAGCTACTCAGGAGACTGAGGTGGGAGCATCCTTCAAGCTCAGGAAGTCAAGGCTGCAGTGAGCCATAATTACACCACTGCACTCCAGCATAGGTGACAGAGTGTGACCCTGTATGAAAAAAAAAGATTATTCCTTAATAGTACATATCATTCTCCAGTATGATGGTTCTGCAGAGAGGTTAAAAAAAAATAGTACATATCAATCCTTTTCATTTTTTTTCCCCCAAGATGGAATCTTGCTCTGTCTCCCAGGTTGGAGTGCAGTGACGAGATTTCAGCTCACTGCAACTGCCTCCCGGGTTCAAGCAATTCTCCTGCCTCAGCCTCCAAAGTAGCTGGGATTATAGGCGCACACCACCATGTCCAGCTAATTTTTGTATTTTTAGTATTTTTAGTAGAGATGGTTTTTGACCATGTTGGCAGGCTGGTCCCGAACTCCTGACCTTGTAATCCACCCACCTTGGCCTCCCAAAGTGCTGGGATTACAGGCTTGAGCCACCGCGCCCGGCCTTTTTTTGCTTTTTTAAAATTAATGTTTCCTTCAGTCTTTTTAGTGCTACATAGTGTCCTATTATTAATTTGTACCATAATTTATTTCATCAGTCCTACGGCAGAAATCATTAATTGGCTAATCCAACACCCATTCCCAGACTTTTTACTCTTGTTCCTGTAGAGGCCAGAATCCCTAAATACTTGTTTTCCCATCCTCCTTTGTGGCCAGGTGTGCCCATAAGACAAAAGCAGCAGTCAGCTAGGAGGTCTTTGAGAAAGCTCTTGCTTTCCTTAGCACTCCTTTCCTCTTCCTGCCTAGCACACGAATGTGTTATCTAGAGTGTAAAAGAATAAAATCAAAATAAAGAAAAAAAATAAGAGTGCAAGCGTACCTTCTTGCAACCAGAAAGGCAACATCAAGAAAGTCACAGAAATGCTGGTTTTGACACTGTGCAGTCATTGAAACAATGCCAGCCATAGCTGGCCTCCAGACTGGTTATGTGAGAAATGTAAGCCCATCTTTACTTCACCTACTACTAGTCCGCTTCCTGAGACTTGTCCCTGACACCTTCCTTACTGATGGACATATAGGTTGCTTCCACATCTTTTAATGCTATTAATGATGTAATGATGGTCCATACACATACATCCATGCTTAACACTTAATGTAGAAAAAACTCCTAGATGTGGAATTGCTGGTCATTCTAAATTTTGATAGATATACCTAACTGCCTCCCAAAAAGGTTTTATCAACTACATTCTCATATCCCCAGATCAATGTGTATTTATCCTCACTTATTCCAACATTGTAGGTGATTTTTTACTTCCTTTTTATACTTTTGTCATAGTTTCTATAATAAATATGCATTAAGAAAATAATCACAGGGAAGATATTTTTAAAAAGCAGAGTTTAGGAATTCTGGGTTCCCAGCTGCCTAGCAGTCTCATTACTATCCCTACAAATGGGGTAAGTCAGTTCATCACTAAGCCAGTGAGCCTGGGAAATGGGCATATCAAGTCCCTGCCCTTTCTGGCTGACAAGTGTTGTTGCGAAGATAGGAGTGTACACACTGTAGTCATGTGTTGATGGTGGGTTCTTCCTGGCATAATCTATTTCTAGATCCAGCCTCCTGGGATGACCCTTTCTTTGACAGATGCTGGGGAGTTTAATTCTTTGCAAAGAAAGGTTTTGTAGCTGCTGCCTGCTCCCCGCTACCCCCACCACAGAAAACCAAGTGTCTGTTTTTGTAACATAACACAGGTATACACTATTTGCCTCACTGTTTAATCCACCAAGACCCTAGGACAAAGATTCGGGCTCTCAGAGCAGCCAAGGCATGCATGAAAAGAGAAGGGCAATGAAGTGGAACCTGAGAGCTGAGGGAGCGGGGACTGCAGGCTTGGGAGCGGCAGCATGGTGTCATGCAGAGCCACATGCTGGCAGAAGTGGGTCTACGGACACATTTTATTCAGTTCCTAAAGTATTCAAAATACTTTTGGATTAGTTGACAACAGTTAAGAATCCTGAGTATGCTTGTACAACACTGTGAATATACTTAATGCCACTGAATTATATACTTAAAAATGATTAGAAAGAGGAATTTTATTTTCTGTATGTTTTACCACAATTAAAAATAGGGCATGGTGGCTCACACCTGTAATCTCAACACTTTGGGAGTCCCAGGCAGGAGAATTGTTTGAGCCTAGGGCTCAAGACCAGCCAGGGCAACACAGTGAGACTCCGCCCATCTCTAAAGAAAATTTAAAAATTAGCTGGACATGGTGTCATGTGGCTGTAGTCTCAGCTACTTAGGAGGCTGAGGTGGGAGGATCGCTTGAGTCCAGGAGGTCAAGGCTGCACTGAGCCGTGATCGTGCCACTACACTCCAGTATGGGTGACAGAGCAAGACCCTGTCTCAAAATAAAAAAAATAAATACATTTATTTATGTATGTCTACACTGCCACGTAAGATTAGTTGCTTCCTTAATGCAAGTCTAGGAAAAGCATTATTAAAAAATAAAAATTCTACATAGTTTTTCATTTTTATTTTTTGAGATAGGGTCTTGCTATGTCACCCAGGCTGGAGTATGGTAGTGTGAACATGACACACTGCAGCTGTGACCTCCTGGGCTCAAGCGATCTCCCCACCTCAGCCTCCTGACTAGCCGGGACCACAGGTGCATACCACCAACCCCAACTATTTTTAAAATATTTTTGCAGAGATGGGGTCTTGACATGTTGACCAGGTTGGTCTCATAAGCAGTACTCCTGCCTTGGCCTCCCAAAGTGCTAGGATTACAGGCCTGAGCCACCGAACCTGGACTAAAGTAGTTTTTTAAAAGGGTGATGGCTGGGTGTGGTGGTTCATGCCTGTAATCCCAGCACTTTGGGAGGCAGAGGCTGGTGGATAACTTGAGGTCAAGTCAGGAGTTCAACACCAGCCTGGCCAACACAGTAAAACCCTGTCTCAACTAAAGGTACAAAAATTAGCTGGGCATTGTGGTGGGTGCCAGTAATACCAGCTATTCAGGAGACTGAAACAGGAGAATCACTGGAACCTGGGAGGCAGAGGTTGCAGTGAGCGGAGTGCACTCTAGCCTGGGTGACAGAGCGAGACTCCATCTCAAAATTATAATAATAATGATAATAATAATACTAATGGTGAAACCTATTCAACTAAAGTCCTCAGAATATTTCCACTGTATTTTCAAGT